GAACTGTCAGTGAAGCTGGAACATGCCAAGGAAAAGTTCTACAAAGGCCCCAGAATGAGCTTCCCTGCGACCAAGGCCATCCCTGGTGTGTGAAAGCATGTTCACATGAGAGTATTGATCTCCCTTACACCCCCATCTGCTGCTGTGCCCCCAGATCCCTGACTGCAGAGGGCAGGAAGGCCAGTGGTTAGAGTGGGTGGGCACAGCTGAGATTCAGCACTGTCAGCACCACCCACCAGCTCCCACATGGGTGCTCAGAGCTCTTCCTGTGGGCATGTGGGAAGCCCTCTGCAGGGACAGGGAAACACAGACCGTCTGGCTGCCAGTCCCCAGGCTGACACTCAGTCAGGTGGTATGAGAGAAAAGGAGAGAGAGCAAAGGGTGAAACTAGAGATCTTTTTTTTTTCCTGACAGATTTGGATTCATCACAGCAATGCAAAGATGACTTCAGAAAGTTTGGACACTTTAGGGGGAGTGGGAAAAGGAAGAGGAGGAGTAGAAGTGACATAAAGACCATGGGGAGGGCCTTGGGGACTCGGGTGGTGGTGAAGGTGTGATAACTTTGTGCACCAAAACCATAAACAGTGCTGGAGAGATGGGACTAGGCATGGCACTTGCTTTGCATGTATCTTGATTTTGATCAAGTTTGATTAATCTGAGTTTGATTCCTGGCACCATATATGGTCCACACCCCCTGCTCCCACCAGGAGTGATCCTTGAGCAGAGTCAGGAATAAGTCTTGAGCACTGCCAGAAGTGCCTCTCCCCCAGTTTGAAAAAAATTGGGGGGTTAAAGCAATAGTATAGCAGGTAGGGCATTTGCCTTGCACAGAGCCAACCTGGGTTCCCCAGCAGCCCATATGGTCCCCTGAGCACTTCCAGGAGTAATTCCTGAGTGCAGAGATAGGAGTAACTCCAGAGCATCACCAGCTATGACCCACAAAGCAAAAACAAAACAATACCAAAAAATTATTTTTTTACACCTGTCCCTGGGGCTTAATGGATCATATGTAATGCTGGGGTTCAAACTGGGGTCAGCTGCATGTAAGACAAGTGCCTTATCCCCTGTACTATCTTTGGAAACCCCAGTAGTTTATTATAACTTGGAGGGCACCTGCATTTGCAGAGTGACTGCAGAGGCCTTTACTTTGTTGCCTCCAAGTAAGCATCCCCATGACTCTTCTCTTTTCACACCCTGTGCAGTGACTGCAGGCGAGAGGGTGTGACCAGGATGGGTCTATCTTGGTATGTCACTGTTTGGCACTGGAGACTGACTGGCACCAGGGACATGGAGCTCAGGCAAACTCATCAGAGCCCTGCCCTGGGATCAAGCTGCCTAGAGAGAAAAAAACAAAAAACAAAAAACAACTCTCCCTTGACGTGAGGTTGCTAAGCAGGGGCTGTCTTCCAGAGAAGAAGAGGCGCTGTCTCAAAGTCACTGGGCAAAGAGAAGCAGAGAGAATGGCAACAGAGAAAGAACAGGAGCTTCTTTGAATCCCAGATTCTGTCCTCCCTCAACTTCCCGGGAGCATCATTTCTCAATTTTTAAGGTGAGCAAATCTGGTACCTTTCCCAACAAGATGAAGCAATCTGTTGCACTTTATATTTAATTTGCTCCTGATCCCAATAACCGGAAAAGTCCTGACTAATCTCTGCGCAGCTGAGTGGGTGCAGTTCTCCAAGCTGCCAAGGGAAGTGGAGGATGGAGGGCCTCTGGGAAGAGTGAGCACAACAGTCGGTGCAGCGGGAGCATAGCGCTCGCCTGCAGGTGTCAGGAAGTTTCATCACATACTTTGCCTGTGGAGTCAACCTGCCTCCAGGCTATGACTAGCCCCAGAGGTAACATGTACCTACACTCGCCTCCTTGGGGAGCTCATTTGTTTTTAATTATCCATCCAATGGATCTGAAACTTCCAATATTAGAGACATTTCTTTCCTTGTCGGATGAATCACTGTAACCTCCCTCAGGGATCCGAGGACGCTGACTTACGTTCCAAGGAGGTGGGTCCTGGCTATTAAAATCCTGGGGCGCAGTCCGAGAGCCCAATTCCTCCCTTCAAGGTTTTCCACTGCTTTGGCTCTGCAGGCCACTGGGTGTCGCTGTTGGAGTGCGGCTCCCGCGCCGCCGCGCTGAGGATGATTGACGGGGAATCGGCCCTTGCGTGGACCGCTGCCCACGACTGGGACCTCTAGACAGCACGACACGGACTCTTCCGGCCGACTTCGCTTTAATCCGCGTTTGAGGTGACGAAGCTGAGAGCACTTGACAGAATCTGCCCTGCTCGCTTGTCCCTCCCCTGCCCAGGGGGCAGGAGGGTGGGGTTTGTTGCTGCTCTTTTCTGGTTCATGCATCCTGGGAATCCTCAAGCCGTGATGGTTTCACCAGTGCACGGGTCACTTTCACCCGGACCTAATGCCAGAGTGCAGGGTCCCAAAAGAGTCCCCACAGAACCTCTTTAACCACACGCCAGTCCCGACTTACTTTTCCTCTCTAGATTGATTTCTTTCTGAATGAAATGAAATGAGCGACGTTTGCACTTAGCCCAAACGCTTGCTCACTTCCGGCTCAGTGATGAAGAACCTCCTAAGCACGTGTGGGAGGGCAGGGCGAAGGGATTGGTACTAAGTGCCACTAACCTGAAACTAAGCCGAAACTGGTTCTTTTTTGTTAATGGAGAGTGGTGGTCTACAACCTGGAGTACTCACGATCACTCCTGGGATCTCAAGGGATCATACATGGTGTCAGGGATCCAACTGGGGTTCACAGCATGCTCCTGTGCTATCTCCCCAGCCCTTAATCATTTGAAATTTATTTTAAACTTTTTTTATTATTATTGTGGGCTAGGTTACATGATTGCAGAAATGTTAATGTTTTTATGGGTTTGATGAGCACCTTTAGCACCACCCAAGTACCTCAGATCCTCTACCTCTGTCCTTATGTCACCCCTGGTCTACTTCTTTCTTCCTCCACTGTCCCCTCTCTCCAATGCTTGGTAATTTCATTTTTGCAATCAAAGTTATTCTTCATTCGTTGTCTGTTGCCTTGTTTTAGTTCCCTATATGCCACCAATGAGTGTTGATTCATCTGTAAACACCTAGTGTTTATTCTCCCTCCAACTTACCATACACGCCCTCTAGTTTCATCCAAGTTGCAGCAAACAGCAGGATTTTATTTTAGAACTGTGTGATATTTCACATTTTTATTAAGTTTTACCACTACATTTTTATCAAGTCATCTTTTTTTCGGGCTGGAGCGATAGCACAGCGGTAGGGCGTTTGCCTTGCATGCAGCCAACATGGCCGACCCGAGTTCGATTCCTCCGCCCCTCTCGGAGAGCCCAGCAAACTACCGAGAGTATCTCGCCCGTAGGGCAGAGCCTGGCAAGCCAGACACAGTAACAACAAAGTCTCCAATGGAGACGTTACTGGGCCCGCTCGAGCAAATCGACGAACAACGGGAGGGCCTTTGCCTTTACCTTTTACCTTTATCTTTTGTTCGACATTTGGGTTGTTTCCATATTCTGGCTATTGAACAAAATGCTACAAAGAGCATCTGTGTGCATACGTCCCTTTGGATGACTGTTTTGTGTTCTCGAGACAGATGTCAAGAAGTGGGATAACTGGGGCATTTGGAAATTCTGTCCTTAATTTTTTTTAAAGATGTCACTTATTGTTTTTGATAAAGGCTGAATATTTATTTGTTGGAAGACAGTATTTCTCCCAACAGTGAATTAGGGTTCTTTTCACCTGCCTCCCCTCCAACACTGGTTGTTTCTAGCCTTTATGATATGTGTCATTCTCACCGGTGGGAGATGGTAATCTCATGATCATTTTGGTTTGCATTTCCCTGAGAGCAAGTGACAAAGAATATTTCTCATGCACCTGCTGGTTGCCCTTGTATTCTCTTCAGGAGAGTGTTTTTTCATCTCTTCTCTTTTTTTGAGGGGATTGTTGAATTTTTGTTGTTGTTGGGTTTTGTAAGTGCTTTATGTGTCTCAGAGATTAGTACTTTAACTGATGTGTGCAAGTATTTTCTCCTATTAGGGGGATGTCTTTCTTTTAGCCTGAATTTCTCTTAGCATGCAAAAACCTTCTTATTTTGATGTAGTCACTCTTGTTTATTTTAAGTCTTTGTTGTCTTTGCCAATGGTGTCCAGTCACAAAGACTCCTCCAAGATCTTGGAGAATTTTACCTATGTTTCTCTCAGTTTATTTGCCTATGTTTTTCTCGATTTATTTTATGGATTCTGGTTTAATCTCAAGGTCTTTAATACCTTTTGAAGTGACTTTTATGTATGGTGTGAGATATCATCCAGATTCCATTTTCTTAGCATGTGGCTATTGGGTTTTTCCCGACAATGTTTGTTGAAGAGAATTTCTTTGCTCCAATTCAATACCACCATCTTTGTCATAGATTAACTGCCCATACAATTGAGGGTTTATCTCTGGGCTCTTGATTTAGTTCCATTGATTCAAGAATCTATTCTTAGTCCAGTAACACGCTGTTTTGATTTATCTATAAATCAAGTAATCTACTACTTTAGTGAATACTTTAAAATCAGGAAACTTGTTACCTCCCATTTTCTTTTATGTTTCTGGGACTTCTTTGGCTATTTCTTTTTTTTTTTCTTTGAAATGCTGCTTTTATGCACACACACACACACGATATAAATACAAACAGCTCTGAGAGTCAGAGAAATGCAAACTCCAAATTCTGGAAAACCACGAAGATTCAACATGATTCAACCGATTCAACGGGATTCCAACCTGTTATTGAATCTTAAGAGACTAGCATCTAGCTGCCTCAGAACTGGCGATACTTAACTACAGTTAAGTGTAAAAGTGTCACATTCTGAAAAGAATTAGTGGCAACAACACCTCTGGACTGAAGGGGGGGGAAACAATAGGGACATGATTGGAAGGCAACCTCTAGAGTGATACTGACTCCAGGTTCCTCAGCTTGGTTCAACGTGTGGGCGACCTCAGCCGCCTGTCACGGCATCAGAGTTTGAGAGAGAAGGATGAGCCACAGGAGCAGCCTTGTTGCGCTTGAGGATTGTTCAACACTTGGAAGGAGCTTCGGGTCAGTTCTTGGCCGAAGTCCACCTGGGCGCCTTTGAGGAGGGCCAGGCTATCACCATCAACCACCACTCTGGCCCCACCCTGTTCGAACACCCTGTCGTCCGGGTTGATAACTGTGTCCAGAGAAAACTTGTACTGGAATCCAGAGCATCCACCACCTTCCACCTCCAGCCGGAGGAATTCGGACCCTTGGGTGATTTCCAGGAGTCTCTGGACGCAGCTCTCGGAGAGGTGGATCTGCCCTTCATCGGCCTCGGGGTTGGAGGACGACGATGCCCAATGTACAGGTGACCCCGTGGGGACCGCCAGTAGCCTGCCCCTGGGCCAGGGAGTGACCGCTCTGGACAGTCCGTGCATGGCCGCCATCTTCCTCCCCCGGCTATTTCTTAAATTTTATGAGTCCCAACACATTTTGGTAATGTTAAATTGTTTCTTAAACAAAAATTTGGAAGATGTTCACCTTCAACTTCTTGAGATTAAAAAAATCAGTGTTTTATTGAGGGCTAGAGCAATAGCACAGCAAAAGGGCGTTTGCCTTGCGCGCGGCCGGCGTGAGCGAGCCGGGTTCGAGTATCTCACCGTGCAGCAAAGCTTGGCAAGCTACCCCTGACGTATTTGATATTCCAAACACAGTAACAACAAGTCTCACAATGGAGACATTACTGGACCCGCTCTAGTAAATCGATGAACAACGGGAGGACAGTGCTACCCAAAATGTTTTATTGAGATCAACTTAGGAGGAATTGCAACAGAACTGAAATAGTCAAATGACTCTGGAATTAAACTGGGTCATTGAAGCTACACTTTCTGGAACAGGGGATTGAGGCAGAAAGGGATCGAAACTGATTATAGCCTATGCTTTGACAGGTGTTAATCCTCACACTTCTCTGAAGTTGACTTCATCATTACTCCTGTTTTACAAATAAAGAAACTAAGGCAGATAGGTTGGGTAACTGGCTGAAAGTAAGTCACATGCCTGGCCAGCTCCTCCATCCAGTTTGGAATCAAGGACTCCTGGAGAAGCTCCAAGTCTTTTTTGTGTCTTTCCTGCTATAGCTCAGTACTTTTTTCATAGGACCTGAAGCAACATATGAGTGGATCATTACCTCCCTCTATCCTTGACTGAAGGAAAAAATAGCACACTCCAGACCCTGCCTTTCTGAGCAAAATGAAATTGTTTTTGTTACCTAGAAGCAAAGTAGTGTCTGGGCCCTGACTCCACCTAATAGTATCATGTTTGTGCCCGTGACCCGCCCAGCTCTACTCGAAGGCCTTCTCTGACTTCTCCTGATCTTTCTGGGTTGGGGGACACATGAGACAGTATGATTTTCACTCATTAGTGTCCCCATCTGTGCTCTGTCAGATTTCCCCTTCCTTCTAAATTACAAATATTTGGAAAAAAAGGTAATCCTAACAATATGAGACCATGCCCCCCTTTTTCATTTAAACTATATTATTAGGTGTATGACTTCCATATTTTTTAATCTTCTCTTTTTGTGTTCCTAAAATTGAAGACCCGCAGGTGTGACACGCAAGTCATCATCTTGCAAAACCTGCGGGCTCAGCGCTGGCCTAATTGGCCCTAAGCCAAGTCCAGAAATTTTCATTTTTACACACCAGGTAATTAATGGGATGTCTTGGCATCACTACTCCATCCAACAGCTCCTTTCTTCACATGGTTTTCCCTCCTCTATTTCTCAGTGAGGAGCTTGCCATATTTTTTTTTAAAAAATGGCTTTCCTAAAAGAACTGCCCCTGGAAACTGGAGGTGCTTTTTTTCTTCTTCTTCTTTTTAAATCCACTAGACTTCTCACATTCAAAGCAATTTTTTTCATTTAACAAATCTTCCAACAAATTTTGGTTTTTTAAATTTTACTGGTCTGGGGCCATGTCCAATATTACTCAGGGCTTACTCCTGGCTCTGTTGCTCAGTGGTCACTTCTGGTGGTGTTCAGGGGGACCCTATGTGGTTTTGAGAATGCTGCACTCTCTCTCTAGTCCCAATATCCATCCATTTTAAACATATTGTTGAAAATGACTTTTCTTTACTGGTACTTTTTTTTTGTAATTGCAGCTAAAAAAAATATTTTTAAAGTCTTACTCAATTCTCGGGGCTAGAGTGATAGGACAGTGGGTTAGGGCATTTGCCTTGCATGCAACCATGATTCCTCCGTCCCTCTTGGAGAGCAAGGCAAGCTACCGAGAGTATCCCGCCCTCACAGCAGAGCCTAGCAAGCTCCCCGTGGCATATTTGATATGCCAAAAACAGTAACAACAAGTCTCACAATGGAGACGTTACTGGTGCTGGCTCGAGCAAAACGGATGAACAACGGGAAGACAATGCTACAGTGCTATTCAATTCTCAGTGAGCATTGCATGTTTGAACAATTAATGCAAGGGGCCAGAGAGATAGTACAGCAGGCAGTGTGACTGACCCAGGGTCAATCCCTGGCACATCATATGTTCCCCTGATTCCTGCCAGGAGTGATCCCTGAAACAAATACAGGATTATTATACTGTTTGTAGTCAGCTCATTATTTGAATGTTCTGCTCTATCTGCTCCTCTGGGCCTTCATTTGCCTTGTCCTGGCTTCCCTGCACCAGTTTTTAAAATCCATGAAAATTTGATGCTCTTTGGTTAATCTGATACAGAGCTCCAGCCAAAAACCTAAGGAGTGGAGAGGAAGACTTCAACATCCTCCCCTGCTCTATAACAGGAAGGTTTTGTGGTCTATGGAAAAAGCTTGATCCCTATGAAAGCATATGGAAAATAATTCCCAAGTGATTCTGTTGAGTATCAGTCAAGATTAAATGAGCTTAACTGAGTTTTCTCTGGAAAATACTTCCCTCACCCCTTTTTTGTTCATTGTCAATTATGTATAAATCTGGCACCAACAATGGGATAAAAACTGTCCCTCTCCACCCACTCTCTTTCTCACTTCCCACTCTCAGGATCAATTTTAGGCTTTCTTAGAAAATATTTTCCAGATTAAAAATTTATCCAGTCCCATCCTCATGGAGAAGCCATGTGAGCAGAAGATAGCATGGCCAGGCTCTAGGAGTGGGATGGGGGTGTGTTAGAAAGAATTCCTTTTGACTCTATTTCAAATTTAGAACGCACTCTCCATCAGAATGGTGCTCACTACTCTCTCAGGGGCCACCTCCTAGAATCCTATGGAGTCATCCCAGGGATGATGGGGGAGGAGGGAGGGTGTAAGAAGGGGCTAGTTGACAGGTACATTTAGGGGTTCGTGGGTACTAGCTGCACAGGCAGAAAACATTTGTTTGGCTGAAGTTGAAGTTGTAAGGTGTAGGGAGGCAGGTACTGCAGGGATGAAGTAGACAGAGCATGGAGACATTCCTCACAGACACTTGCAGACACTTGCACACACTGACACAAACATAGATTCTCCCTGGAAGGGGGCTGAGGAAGACATGGACTCTGCTCCCCTCTGTTCTTTCCCTCTCACAGTCAGATGTCCTGTGGGACTCCAAGGGCTCCAGCGGGAGGTGTGAGCAAGTCTGGCCCCCCCCCCCAACTGTAACTGCTGGAAAGGCTTGTTATGGGAATTCCTTGCCGCTGTGGGCTGGTCCCATATGTGAGACCATATATGGTCCCCCTGAGCATTATCAGGAGTGACCACTGAGCATAGAGCCAGGAGCAAGCCCTAAGTACTGCTGGGCATGGCCCCCAAACCAATAATTATTTTTTAAAAAATGGTTGGAGGTTTTGTTAAATGAAAAAAGTTGCCTTGAATGTGGGAAGTCCAGTGTGGAGAAGGAGAGAAACCTTCAGACACCCCGCTGGTAGGCGAACAAGAGGGGAGCAGAGAGCTCCTCCTTTACCTGCTTCCCAATTGCCTTTAGCTCACAATAACTTCAGTGCCAAGAGGCATATTTGGGGGTGGGTGTAAGGCAAATTATACTACCCTGAAGTCAACCACGGGGTTAAGGAGTGGGGGCTAGGGGGAGGGAAATACACTTCTCTCTACCACCTAAAAAGAAATAAGAAACCAAAACGGAGCCATGTTTTGAGTCATGGAATCTGAGTAGGTAGAACAGAGGTGGCAGCAGTGGAGGGTCTGAGCGGTGCCTCCACTTGGAAGCTGAAACAGGCACCACGCAACTCCCCACTGGAATTGCTCCTCACAGCCTGCCCGCTCCTCAGAAAGAATCATCTCATAGCACCAGCCATGGCACAGCTGACTCAAACCCAGCCCAGCCAACCAGCCCAAGAACTAAGCCTCCCTTTCCTTTGTGAGCCCCACGGCAGCCATCAACACCCCAGACGGGCTTCTCGGGTCTGTGTCTCTCGCTCCTGTGTCTCCCTGGCCAGGTAAGGGTCTGACTTTGCTCCCATCTGCCATCTTGGTCTCATACCTCACCGCAGGACTGTTCAGTCTAGGGGTCTGGCTGCCGCTTTATTTGGGACAGGGATGATGAGACCAGAGTCAGTCACCAGTAAAAAAAACACTGCAGAAAAGAGAGCCACGAGTGGAAGGCATGTAGGTCTCCCCAACCTGAGAGGATGTTCCATCACACAGCGCCCACACATGGAGACAAAGAGGCACTTTTTTTTTTTTTTGGTTTGGGGGCCACACCTCATGCTCAGAGCTTGTTCCGGGTGGTGCTCAGGGAGCACAGCACTGGTAGGGATAGTGTCTGGGCTCCGTATGAAAAGCATGAGCTCCACCATGGAGTTGTCTATGAGACAGGCACATGTGGAAGACGCATATTTTGAATGTGCACTGAAAAATATTCATTAACAATACAAAGAGGCTTTGTTTTTTATTTTGTTTTCCTTTGCGGGCACACCTGACAATGTTTAGGGGTTGCTCTTATCTCTGCACTCGGAAATTACTCCTGGCAGTTCTCAGGGGACCATATGGGATGCCAGGGATCGAACCCAGATCAGCTCAAATCTCACAATGGAGACGTTACTGGTGCCCGCTCGAGCAAATCGATAACAACAGGAGGACAGTGTTACAGTGCAGTGCTACTGTGGTGTCATGATTCTCTTTAAGTTGCCAGTCTAGGAATCGAATAAATAAATGAAAAGGACCGAAATGAGAGGCAGAGTGGGGGGCAAGTGAAAGGAGGGACCTTGTGCCCTGTGGGCAGGAGCCAAGGCCACTGGGGGCTGGATCTGGCCAGGGGTAGGGGAAATGACAGAGGGCCATGCCCAGGGAGTTAGCCAGATCTCACTCTCCTCTGCACCTGCTTCTCTCCACGGCTGGTTGCTGCAGCTGGCCTGCACTGTCTCCCACCTGAACCTCTCCTGGTAAAGCTGGGGTGCTGCTCCTTGTGACTGGCTTTACACTAGTGTCTGCTACTGCATGAACAGCAAACCCGGGTCTCTAACCTCTGCCCCCAGGGCTCTCTGGCAGGGTAATCATTATTCTCCAACCTCAAGGTATTACTAGTTCTTCTGAGCTTGAGACCAAAGAAACTTGTTGGAGGCTGCCTGCAACATCAGCACAGATGCGGTTAGGGAGTTCTGCTGGGGGTCATCCCACGATGGGTCCCTGGGATCTATGTTCTTTGTAATTGCAGTTTTTTTTTTTCCGACTGGGGTCTACCTAGGACACTCCAAAGATGCTGACTGTGTGGAAGGATCTGCTGAGACACATCTCCAGTGAAGAAACAAAGAGTGAGGAAGTGCATAGTGCAGCTGGACAGTGGACTGGCCCCAGCTTTGGGCTGTTTGCAGGGCAATGAAAAGAGCTTAGCACCACAAACAGAGCCAATAAACTGGAGGAGGAAGGAGCTGGAGCTGGGGCTTGCTTAGCTCTGGCAGGAAATGACCAGTAGCCAGTGGGTAAGCAAGTCCGGACTGAGGAGCAGTGCCTTGATCTGGCGGCTGCTTGCACAGGCAAAGGGGAGAAACATGCGTCCTAAACCAGACAGAGTCAATGGGACCCCCCAGGGGAGTGCATGGCTCAGAAGAGAGGGGAAGGTGGAAGAGGAATCAGGGAGTGGAAAGGAGAAGGTCTGGCCATTGATGGTGCAAAAATCATAGATGCCAAACCCTTACTGGCAGGTCCCAGTGTGCGGGCACCCCCATCACTATGCAGCTAATATGCAGGCGGGTCTATGCCAGGTTGGCTAGAGAGGTAGGGAGAGCCTTCTCCATCGGCTTCTCTGCCTGTGGGTCACAAGCACTAACAGGTTTGTGTTGTCTGGGACAGAACTGGCCCCAAAATGGTATTGGTCACCGCCTGCCCCATGCTGTGGCAATGGTTGTATAATGACAGGCTCTTCTCCCTGCCCCCACCCCTCCCACTCCCACCCCCTCCTTTCCCCCACCACCGGACTTGCTTCTGCAAACTCTTCAGATTGGCAAAAGCCTTCTGCAGATCAAGCCAAACACTTTCAGCTGTCTTACAGAGCAAGCAATGTCGACTCACAATGCACTCCTGCAGATCTGCAAGGCCCAGGTTCTGGGACCTCAGGCAGCTGAAATGAGGTGGGCACATCCCTGACTCCTCATGCTGAGTCCCTCATGCACAATCAGCCTCAAGCACACAGAGCAGAGCCCGACTGGCTGGCAGATGAGTCAGCTTCCCTTCCACCCGACCCTCGATAAGACGATCCCATTTTTCAGGGTATGGTTGGGGCCAGCTACCATTGCCTCATACTCTCCTAGAACGGAGGAATAAGGGTGGAGTAGGGAGTGTGTTCACCATGCCAGATACCTCCTGGAGGACTGTGTAAGGCAGAGGTATCAGTGGGGGGTGGGTTGGGGTGGCTGGGCCACCACTGGTGTCAGCTCCTGAGAGTGACCAGTAAACCCAGCTCTCTAAACTCTGGTCCTCAGTTTTCCAATCATTATGTGCAAGCAGAGACCAAGATGGCTTGATCCCACAGAGTAAATTATTCATTTTTTTTCTCTGTTCCTTGGGTACCTCCATCTGTTCTGAAGACCTACCGGGTATTTGATTCAGGGCACCCAAGAAAGGACTGGGCTTGTCCACCAAGAAACAGGGAAGGCCTTTGTGTTCCCAGAATAAGTAGTCATCAGATCACACCACCTGCGGTGGGGACCACTTCACCCCTGCCCGGCTGGGCTCCCTCTCCCCTCCTCACCGACTCCTCCCAGGTGCTCCATACTTCCAGAAATAGCTTCTGAGCAGGAGGAGATGCTCTCTCTGCAGTTGGCTGCCCGCCCAGACCTGCAGCTCTCCCCGACCGAGAGCTGCCCTGTGTGAGCGTAATTCTAGCTCCAGGCAAGCTTTTCATGCCGCCTGGGAACATTGGACCCGCCAAAGCAGCCCCAGATGGTTGAAAACCTTCACAGCAATGTGGGCTCACTCCTCAAGACCCTGCCTTCCCTGCCTTCCCGTGCCTCCTGCATAATTCATTGCGCTTGGTTATCTTCAGGAGGCTGTCCAATGGCATTGCTTTCGCGTGCTAGTAAAGCTCCCCAGACATTTCCCGAGGATGCTGGGATGCCTCCTGTTAAAGGGCCAGCCTCCGCCCCCCAGAACCTGTTCTGAGCTCCAGAAAGGGGGATGAGCGTCCAGGACTTGGAAGACTGGGCCGTCCAGGGGACTGGCATGTTTGTCCCAAACAGCCTGCAAAGGGATGAAGAAAATGGCAGATCAGGCAGTGAGCTGGAGAGAACACAGGATCTGGGAGCTCCTGATCTCCCACCTCTACATGCCAAGGCTCCTTGGGGATCTCAGGTATGTCTACAGCCCTGGGGAAAGGGGATGCACCTGGCCTATACATTGTGTCTCACTTTCCTGGTTGCAGGAGACGTCTCAGCTGCTGCAGTGAAGAGATTGTGTGTGTTCATTCATCTTTCCCAGAGGACTCAACTCTCCCCACACCCTATCACCCACCTGCACTTACCTGCTTCCTGCATTTACCTGCTTCCATACCACAGAGAAAGGTTAAATAGAATGCTAAGGCCCTTTTACCTAGTGACATGGCTGGGGAAGGAGTCTCTCCCCGTCTGAGGGGGACATTGAGACGCAGAGACCTGAAATCACAGCTTGCGGGTGGAACAGCTGAGCTGAGGGTGTTTCTGAGATTGGAGACAGGCAGAGTGGCCAAGAGTCTCCTTTGCAGGTTCCAGGTGAGTTGCCCAGCACAAGGGCAGTGTCCAGACTGCAGGGGAGCAGAGGGGCAGCCCAGGCTCCCAGTCCTGCCCCTTAGGGAGTCAGGGACCATGTCCTGCTGGCCTGTGGAGGCAGTGAGTCCCTCTGCTCTTCTCAGCAGGCTATGGAGATTGTACCTGTGTTTAGGTCACTATCTGCAGAGTCAGCTGCCTCCCCCTGGGTGAGCATAGGACTAGGGAAGTGGGGGCTTCTTGGTTTTTTGTTTGTTTGTTTGTTTTTTGTTTTGTTTTGTGTGTTTGCTTTTTGGGTCACACCTGGCAATGCACAAAGGTTACTCCTGACTCTGCACTCAGGAATTACTCCTGGCGGTGCTCAGGGGACCATATGGGATGCTGGGAATCAAATCTGGATTGGCAACGGGCAAGGCAAATGTTGGCAAGATACACCCGCTCCAGCACCCGTGGGGGCTTCCTGAATGATGATCTCAGCACGAGGGCCAGGTAGAGTTCTTCCACTACTTCCTTCTGGAGCCTGCACCCCTCACACCGAGTGCTGGGTTTGGTTCCTTCAGTTTGTATGGAGTCCCTCGGCCTCTGCCTCACCTTTATCTGGCCCCTGACTTGGTGGGTCCATCCTGTACCTCAACTATGGGGTTTTCTTGTTCATGGAACCCCATTAGATTCCACTTCATACTTGTGGCCATAACCCAGGGTTCCCCATAGAGTTGTGGCGACTGGGGGAACAGGACGCCCCGGCTCCTGGACCGGGTTCACTGCCACACAGGGCTACACGGGCTCGGGCAGGTGGTCAGCCGCCCTGTCCAGTGCCCTCCTGAGCTACTCTGCCCTTTCTCACACCTTCTCACCTTCCTGCCACCCTCCCTACAACACCCAGTCAGGTAGGTCTTCCAGCCTCTTCCTTTCTGAGGTCTCCACCACCCAGCTGGCTGCAGGGGAGCGGTGGGGTGAACCTGCCCCGTCAGTTCAGAAGCCTCTGGCTCATCTGTTAGAGGCTCTAAGAGTTCTTAAAGACAGTGAGTGTGGGGCTGGAGTGATAGCACAGCAGGTAGGGTATTTGCCTTGCTGGGAATCGATCCAGGTTCGATTCCCAGCATCCCCTATGGTCCCCTGAGCACTGCCAGGAGTAATTCCTAAGTGCAGAGCCAGGAGTAACCCCTGAGCATTGCTGGGTGTGATCTAAAAAAAGCTTAAAAAAAAAAAAAAGACAGTGAGTGGTTCAATATGGTCAGTATCATCCTCAGCAGAGTGGGCGTCGGACAAGGTTCTGGTAGAATTCCTTCATGTGGGTGAGGCTCTGGGTCCCATCCCTGGTACCAAAGAACACAAAAAGTAACACGCCTGTGGTGTGGAATCAGAGTGGGAGCAGTCCATTTCCCCGCCCGCAGCCAGCCCAGTGACCTCAGTGTGGCTTCCTCCAGTGTAGAAACGGGGGTGTCAGTGTTAGCACGCAGCCTGGTTAGGGTGCAGACTCAGAACAATGCTCCTCTGTTGTCCCAACTTCAGGATTATTTTTTCCCTGCCCAGGGCAGCCCCCTTCTGGCAGGGCTCAGCAGTGAGGCTCCTGTCTGATTCCGGCTGCTTGAGGGAAAAGCAGAGAGGCCACAGGGCTGGGGCAGAGGCAGTCACACAGATGTGACGTTTCACATATATCCTTTTTTGTATTTAAATTTTGGTTTTGGGGTTATACCTGGTGGTGCTCAGGGCTTATTTCTGACTTTGCAATCAGGGCTCACTCCTGGCGGGGTTTGGAAGACCATATGGGGTGCCAGGGATGGAACCTGGTTCAGCTGCATTGCCTGCTATACTATGACTCCCGCCCCCCCTGGCATATTTCCATTTTTAATAGGGGGTCGCCCAATGTTCAAAACTCAGTCTGTTGATGCTTGGGGGGACTCTAGGGCTTAACCTTGGGTAGAACATGTGGTGGCAGGGATCAAAGTCAGGGTCTTTCTCACGCAAGTCAAATCCTTCAAACTTTTGAGCTACTTCTGCAGTCCCAATATTTACATTTGTATATATGTGAAATAATTTTTGAAAGAACACCTGAAAACACAAAGGAAAATTCTACCAGGATCCCATTGACTCGCCCTTCCTTTCAGTCCTTTATCTTCTTAGATAATGTTGATATAATTGTGCTCATACTATCTATATTATATCTTTGCCCAGGTTTTTGTTTTTATAATCTAAACATTATAGTTATGAATGTTTTCTAGGTTAATGTGTAAACATCATAATTGTCACTTTGTTGTATAAATAATATTCCATTATGGAGTCAGAGAAATAGTACAGTGGGTGGGGCGTTTGCCTTGCACATGGCCTATCTGGGTTCATCCCTTGCATCCCAGATGGTCCCTCAAGCACTGCCAGGAGTAATTCTTGAATGCAAAGTCAGGAGTTACCCCTGAGCATAACTGGGTGTGACCCCCAAACAAACAAACAAACAAACAAAAACAGAAAAACAAGATGTATGATGAAATGTGAGAATTTGTATAGATGCTTTAGTTTCCATGAGCTTTCCCAGTAACTGGTCAATTGGTTCAGTTACACGGTTTTTATTAAATATTTAATACTTGTATTAATACTTAAACACAAATACTTGAGTGTTAAGATAGATCAGACAGGGTGATGAGATGAGATAAGATAAGATAAGACAAGACAAGACAAGACAAGACAAGACTGGGTGTATTGTGGGAAGTTGTATATATGCTCGGGGTGTGGGTGGCTTTATGATCAGGGGAGGATGTGAGAATATTCAGGTTCCTCAATTACACCTACAGGGGAGATTTTAGACCCTCCAACCTTCAAAGAGCTCCTCATCCACCTCTGCTTTGATTCCTAAAGTGTTCCCTCCAGAACCATCTCTGGCTTTCACTTTTGTCTTTCGAGGGCCTCATTAGAGATTCAAATATTGCCATCTAATAATGTATCAGCAAAAATCAGAATCACATTTAGTGTGAATGTGAGTTAGCATTTCCTGCACTGTATTCTTAGGTAACTTTCTGTCATAGATCATCCATGTCAAGAAGACCAGGAAGCTCTTCTGAAACATTTAATCATCCATTGAATAAATATTTGTTGAGCTCCCAGTGTGCATTAATATTGTTCTAGGAGTGGCAGAAAGACCTATGAGTAGGTGAGACAAGCTCTAAATCATTTGAAATATTCTAATGGAGATGATAGAGAATAAATAAATACGATTTCTATAGCAGAGGCAGTTTGGTCAAAGTGTGTTAAGTGAGAGTGAGTGTTAATTTTGTTATTTAAAAAAACTTTTTTGGGGAGGTGAGTTTGGGCCATACCTAGTGGTGCTCAGGGGTCTCTCCTGGCAGTGCTCAGAGGACCATAACAGACTTTGAGACTCAAACCAGGGTTGATAGCATACACAGCCAGCACCCTGGCCCCGTCAAGAACTTTTGTTTGTTTTGTTTTGAGCAACACCCAGTTGTCCTCAGGGCTTATCCTGGCTCTGCTCTCAAAGGTTATACCTGGTAGGGCTCAGGGGACCTTATAGGGTGCCAGGCATTGAACCTGGATCAGCCGCATACCCACTGAACTATTACTCTGGCCCCAGTCATAGATATTTTAAATAGGAGATGCCTGAAATTAATCAGAGTGGAAACCTTAGGTGGGCTGTTGAAAGGACAAGCCTAGAACAAGGGGAGGGTTGGGAGATGACCATGTAGCTTCCATGGAGCAGAACAGAGATGGTGTTTAAGGCATGGGGCCGGGTGAGTCTCCAAAGGTGGGTAAAGAGAAGAGGCAGAGGCAGTGCCCTCCTGCTCTCCACCTTCTAGATCCAGGGAGGCAGGAGAGATCTTGAAGGAGACTGAGAAGGAAGAGCTGAGATGCTAACAAACCCAAGAGGGAAGATAGGGTATCCAGGGAGACCAGACACTCCCTCTCTAACACCCCATTCCTGGTCAGCACAGGTTGTCAGGAAGCATCATCACCAAGCACGGTGTCCGCTGCTGGGGATCTTATAGTCCCCCGCCACCTCCTTTGCGCAGACCCTACGGCACTTAGAGGGGTGGCGTCTGCGAGCATCAGAGCATCCATCTTCCTCTTGTCTCTGCATGGAGTCTGGTCTGTGCGGCTTGGAGACCTGGTGAAATCAGGCCCTACCCAGTTCTCACCCTCCTGCCACACAGCCCATAGCCAGCGCCCAACCTTCCCTCCTGGCGAAATTCTGCCAACCCTGCCATCTCAGTGCATGAGGCAAGCTCCTTCCCACTCTTCCACCTGGGCTCTGCTGTGTCTCCTTTAGGAATGTCCTTCCTGTCTTCCGGCTCGCCTGTCCTGTCCCATATTGCATCCTGCCCCGTCTGCCCTCCTCTCTGGCACGTGGGAGGCTTCCCTTTAGGACCAGCTCTCTGATGACAGTCTCCTAGGAGCCCTGGCTCTTCTTTGTCCCTCTCCTATGTCACCCAGCCTCATGGTGGGTGAGAGCTCCCTGAGGTAATGCTCGACTCTGTCATTTCTCTCCATGTCTGCCCCTCGCCCTGGACCCAGTCATGTTTCCTGTCTGAAGCTCTCCAGCACATCTCCCCACCTCCAGTCTGGGTCCAGCCATGCCCCTACACCTACAATAGCCATAGTAAGTAC